GCTGGACGGCTGCGATATGTATGTTTTCAGTGCCACAATCACCTCGTACTACCCGAGGACAGCCACCTAACTGACGCACGCAATCGAGGTAATATTGTACCGTTACCATTGGGTTATTGTTTGAGGGGCCTACCTCCAACCACAATATGCGAGGACTGTAGCCGTCAATAACACCGTGAATGCAAAACCCGTAGGGCTTAAGCTTGTCATGGCCATCGATATGCCATATGAAATTAGGGCCTGGTAACAGGTACCTCCTCCTTCTAAATCGTTTCCTCGATCGTAACTCAACGCCATGACGATCTAGGCTCTTCACTATTCGTCGGACTGTGTCTCGATCAATGACAATCCCGTGGTCACTTAGTAGACGCTGGTGCATTTGTCGATAACCTATGCAACTTCCACTACTCTGTAACTCTTGGTCTACTGCATTTACCACCCTATCAATTCTAGACTGAATCTTTCTTCGTCGAAGCCCTCGAGATCTAAGAATCCTTTTTAGCTGACGTAGACTTAAGCAAACCCCGTGACGTAAGGGAAGAAAGGATATAATCTCGGAGTAGTTAAGATCGAGGTGAAAATACTGTTCGATCAAATAATTTCGTTCATAGTTGCCATTTATATTACTTACGGTTGGTAGATAATCTGGAAGAGTCCAGCCATCTGAAACTTTCAGCAAAACGAAGAAAGTGATCAGAAGAAACGCTTACCAACCATCTTTGTGTCCACTGATCTAGAGTCAACACGCATGTCCAAAACACATAACTTGTAATTAACATTGTTTAAGGTGCGATCGCTATTTTTGTAAGTTGCGATCGCAAGTTAGTAAGTTGCGATCGCAAGTTAGAATCTGCATGTAGAAGCATATAAGAAATACACCACGATTTCTGTATAATACTAAAATTCAATTCTTTTTGTCAAATTTAATATCTCCAATTTTTGCGGACAATGTTTTGAGTAAAATCATGTAATTAAAGGAATGGAAGGAAAAGTCAGGGAATTCTGTTTTCTGGTTTATAGTTCATAAGTTTTCTTCAAGACTTTGAAATTTCAATGCATTTTCTTTCGGAAAAAGATGAAAAGTATGCTGCAAAGCAAGCAAAGAGATCAATTTGACACTAACGCCTGACAGTCATGTAGACGTAGTTGTGGTCAGGGATTTTCATTGTGAATGCTTTCTTCCAAATTCATTCTTCCTCTTTCCGTGAAAGGTGGAGAGAGGTTCAAAAATATCAATGGCCTGCAAAAAAAGCTAAAGTGAATCTAAACATAGATTGTTATTCATTAATATAATAACGTCAGTGGAAAAGTCAGGGAATTTTTCACTTTCTGATGAGTGGCAACCAAAGTTCCCTCAAGATTTTGCTTCCTGGGGAAAATGTCTGTGGGGGCATTAATATCTTCTTTGTTGAAGGAGCCTGTCTGCACTCTCTTTTATTTTTGTTGTAGGTTTCGTTCTAGGTGGCTGAGAATCCCTTTCGAGGAGCTCAACCCGAAGCTCCAGGGAAATGACAAACTGAAAGCAGAAGCCAGTCTTCGGACAGCAATGGAGGATGCTCATAAAGCATTCCCATTGTCACCTGCCACATCGCATCTGCAATTAAAGGCAGGCTCGAAGATGATGAGTTCTTGCATGCAATAGAAGCAGTGGAGGAATTTGCAGAGAAAAACTCTCTGGATCAAAGGGCACAAAAAACGTTTTCTCTTTTGTTATTTTGTGCACACAAGGTACATATTCTTCAGACTAACAACAAGGCCATCTTATATTTCCTTACAAACACTTCTATATTTCTTGCATAAATCCTCATAAGGCAGCCCTGCCTTAATACACTGAATAGAATACAGCTTCTGAAATCAGAATCACAGAAGTGGAAACCAAAAGAGGATCTGCAACAAGACGGAGTTTTATATTTCAAAATAAAGGATTACGAACTTCAAAACTTGTTTTTGATTAAATTTATTTGGGTAAAATATTTTGTAAAGATTGTCTTATGTATGCAATTTTGTATCCTAATTTCATGGCTGTGTTGTGTTCTTATGGGTGAAGGTAAAATACTACCTGACCTTGAAAAACATCACAACGGCTTACCGCAAAGGAAATAAAAGGAAAAGAGAGCAGAAACGCCTACTAATTACTCAGCCTTTACATATTATTGTTGCACTAGTTGTTATGAAATTTTATTAATTAAGGTGTTTTAGTATTAGGGTCTTGTTTTGTTCATACCCTGTAGATACTGGAACAAGTTGGTTGTGAGCAATTTTATGATGAAATCAACAAAAAGCCTTTTAGCCTTGTTATACCTAGTTACATTCAAGTAAATGAAACTGACAATGCAAGTGATCTGTGGATAATCAGGGGAAGACCAATGTGCAGACCTTTCTTTTTGAGTACCTTCCTAAAGCGACTTTGCAAGGTAAAGTTGATGAGGTGTGTGTGTTATTGTTTTATTAGAGTTTTACATTTGAGGACAAGGATGAATAGGAGTACAAGATTTTATCTAAGTATTATGTATATGTGCGAGCCAGCATCATTTTGGCCCAAAAAATGCGATAGCTGTGGTCATTCTACGATTGGTTTTAGAAGCAAGAACAAGTTATCAAATGTAAGAAGTTTTAATATTTTGCTTTCGGGAAAGGGCTTTAAACATCCTTCAATATTAACTGTGCTTAAGTTTTTGGTGTAAAAAAAGTAAAATGAAGCTTTCCAGGATGGTGGTGGTGTTGTTGTTTTTTTAGAAACACCCGCAAAATTTTATAGTTGAATCTCCTACTGACTTGTACTCATTCTCATCCTCAAATCTAAGCTCTCTATCATTTGTGTATCAAGTGGCTGTACTATTGATCTCTTTGAACTAGTAAGTCATTAATGTTACGACTATGTATCTTTGTTAAGGTGCTTCAGTTTTTGGATCAGGACTTCTGCCCAAGCAGTTGCTGCTGTGGACGTTGTGTTGCATTCAGTGTGCAGTCGGCATTATGCTATGTAAAGGAAATGCTTGGTCCCTCCCATACAAATGAAGTAACTGCTGGTGCTGTGAGGCAGTACATAAAAGGGAATGGAATTGGTTGTGTGGGAACATTAGTTCGCTGTAGAGGAAGCAAAAGACAAGTGCATGCAGCTCACATTCAGCATGGATGGTTTCGTTCAGAAGATATAGCTCTACTTCATGAAAGTACGTTTAGTCACAGAGTTTCTTTCTTTGATGTGGAAGAAGTGTTTTGTTTTTATTATAACATAATATTACTCAAATTGCATTTCTATATCAATTGAAAGCTTTTTAAACAAGTAGACCACATTTTTTTGAGGCATACTATAATATACAGGCATTTCATGATAAGACATCACACTGAAAGATTTAAAGTGCAATATCTCACTTGAGCCAGAATTAATGTTGTTTAATAATAAATATGTATAGTTAAACAAAATAACAAAACAAGACGATAAACAAAACCAACTGCCAATTCAGCTTATTTACCGTGCAACAAAGAGAGTGAAATTGTCATTTATTAAAATGATTCTATGTTCTATCTATGTATTGTTTTTCATTGTATCGTCAAAATTGACTTGATTATAGGAATTTGTTTCCTTAATGTACCTTTATAGAAACCAATCAGCCAGAATGTGACGAAGTGACTGATGTTACCCCTGGAGAAAATGACAAAACTGCTCAGGGTAAGTTATAATAATTATAATTTTTTTTATCCCACTTTTTATGCACACAAGCCAATTAACTTTTCAGAATAAACAGCTTAAAGCTATCTATTTACCGTGTAGAAAGCATTGCAGTTTCTGGCCAGGTGGAAGCTGAAGAGGTATGTATTTTTTACGTAGATTTAAGATATTAATCATTCATCATTAAATTGACAAATAAGAACACTCATCATCTATAATTTTTGCTTTAGTTACATAATGATGGTGGTTGCTGTACTCTGAGTAATTTTGTAATGCTTAATGTATTAATATATTTCCCGTATACTTTTGTTGTCCTGTGATCAAAATGTGTATTATAAAATAACTGACGAAAAATTAAATAACCTAATTAATATCAATTTTAAAATTTTGTATTAAAACCCCCCCCCCCCATGATTATTGAAAAAATGGTAAATTTTAGCACATACGCCCTAAGTTTCTGTATTGCTTTTTTAAGCAGCAAGTTAATGCAGTGCAAGCCGTGCCGGCTGTGATCACTATTAAGTATTGAACCTTCTTTGCCTGTGATAATAGTTAACATTGCATAATAATATCTACAGAACAAGGATTCAGATAGTGCTTAGTTGATATACCTGGTTTTCACTTCGGATGCAAACATCTAGTCAGTGTAGTGTCAAAGGAAAATAAAGACTGATGCAGGACTAGACACTCTTAATCACAAAAGAGATGCAGCTCACTACAGTTCTGAGTCTTCTTACGACTCGGCCATTATGGCACTGTATGAACCCGAGTTAAGCTTACAGTTTAGATGTGACAGTGATTTTGGTGGATCACCTTTTGCTTAATATTTTATTTTCTCTCGTCAAATATTGATTATTATTGATCAATGCAGAATGTTAAAGAAGACAAAAGACAGTATTGAAAAAAGTCACGATCTTATCGAGACAAAAAATGCAATTAAACAACATAAATAAGTCAATATGAATATCAAATGGCACCAGGCGTTGACTATTGCTTGTTTTACTATTTCTTTTATTATCAGCACCTTACAACTTACGTATATCCCTTCCTTTGCTGTAAACTACATCACTTCTCCTCCTGAATCGTAACATGTTTTTTGGGTGTGCACTAACATTGCTACAATAATTTGTATTAAAAAGTCATGGGTGTATCCAACGTATCTTGTATAATTTATTAGTTTCAGAAAACATTGCAGTTTCTGATCCTCAACAAGTGGAAAACGTAGGTAGTTCATCTCCTTGTCCGGTTGCAGTAGTTGAAAATTTTTTGCAAGTTGGCAGTCATGTGAAGAATTCAATTTCGTCGGATTCTGCATACTGAGAAGAAGATGGAACTCAGAAAGGAGCCCATGTCGTACAGTCGAGCAAGTGAGCTGATGAAGTGTGAGCTTCAAAAGGAAGAGTTGGATCTTAAGTTGTATGGAGTCCACAGTCTTAGGGCCGAAGGAGCATCAGCAGCCCTTGGTGTACCTGATCGGCTATTCCAAAGGCAAGGGGGATGGCGTAGTGAGAGGTCTAAAATCAATGACATTCAGGAGTCCATGGAGTCACTGTTAAGAGTTACTAATACAATTCAGGCTCGAGAACTAATTAGGCATTTATGGCTTAATTTCCACCTTGTTCAAATTTATCAGACTTTAAGCGATATAGTATTGGGGTGAACATTTAGCATGAACTGTGTCCAGACAAGTCGAGCATGATACCTAGCTCATTTTTCCACTTCGTTGTAATTCAGTCGGACAGTTTATTCTCTGTCCGGTTATGCTATGGTTGTTTTCTAGTTCTAGGACTCTGAGATTGTATTTTTGTTGCCGCTCTATGTTCTGTGCATTGCGGCGGTTGGCTTGGCATGGGTACCAGTGGTGTGTGAGAAGGGTAATTTTCCACTGGCTGAGTTTAACGAATTAAGTGGAAAATGTTTTTCTCACACACCGCTGGGAGCCTGGGTATAGATCATGTGACTGAAGGGCGGGCAGTTGCTTTAGTTGCGTCCGCCATTACTGACCTTCCCATCCACCCACCCTAAGATTTCAGTTTTGTATGCTGTTAAATGTACGGTGCAACTTTGTAGTTTTGTTAACGTCCTACCTTTCTAAGGTTATGTTATGTATGCATTTTTTGAGTTTAAAATAAAGGTCAGGCTGTGGCGGTCAGCTTGGCATGGCTACCAGTGGTGTGTGAGAAAGTGGTTTTTAGTTCAGTATGAGGATGATTCAGTTAAAAAAAGAAGAACTAAAAAACCAACTTGCGTCTAAGTTAGCATCTGAGTTAGCAAAAAGACAACAGGCTCCCACGGCCACAAGGTAAAATTTCAGTCAGCAGGGAATGTCAGCCCACCCGCAACGTAACATTCTAAAAAGATCCAAATGGGCTGGGTGCAATTCAGTGATAGAGAAAAGCGTTATGTCGCTGTATACATGGTAACAGGGAGAGGAATGAGAGAAGTATCATCTCCAACCCCAGTGACATCAGCAGAGCTGATAGAAGCCATGAAAGAGGTTTTTCTTCCAGAAGGAACTTCCGGATTTGGTTCTACAGATCAAATGACTTTCAAACTAGGAAACTTTAGATATAAGGAAATAACACGAAGAAAAGTACATCAACATGGCTTAATGTCTGGACCAGCTTGGCCAAAAGCAGGAATTTTGAAACCAATTGGCTTGCTTATGAAGTCAAACAACTAGTAAGCAAGTTTCCGCATTCGACATTCAAGTTTTCGAATTCGACTTTTACCCGCTGGGCATCAACCGATGGACATCGTGGGCTCAATTGACCTGACCTACCCCTGCTCAAATGGTGGTCGAGAGTCGGTCAAGAGACTTCCCAGTGGAGTGGACTCGGGAGACCTTCTCCGCTCCCGACAAACCAGATGACAACAGACGTGTTCACGTCCGTGTGACAAAGATGGC